CGTTTTCATCCTCATCATCACTGGCATTACCATCCCTCGTCATAATCATTTTCTGATTACTGTTATTCCTCTAATTTGAATGCAGTAGAAAATCAGTTCAGTTTGTTTTCTCTTTGGTCCCCTTCTTTCTGTGTTTCTTTAAAAAAAAAAAATTTTTTTTTACCTGCTCTGTCTCTTGGATGCTGGCCTTCGTTCCAATATAAAGGAGGGAACATTGAATGGATGCTGGATTGACCGCGGACAGTAAAAGAAGAAAAAGAAAAGATGACAAAATGAACTCTCTGATATGCAGATATATGAGCCATGATTGTGTCGATCTGCTGCATATTTCAGTGCAATACACACCTCTGGTGAAGATATCTCTGCAATGGCAGCTCACAAAGCTTCTTGTTGTCTTTTTCTCCATGTGAAACAACAGACAACCTGGGGTATAAATGACAAAACTTGATCAGAAAGCAAAGTAGCATTATATATTTAGATGATTTTATTGTCTTGCAACTGAAATATTTTACATACCCATATTTAATCATGTATTCATTTACTTCAAATCATCTGTAATTATTCTTCTGGATTAAGCAACATATTTTTTTATTTTAGAATTTATTTATTTGCATTTAGGTTTTTTTATTTTTATGTCTTTTTGCTATTGCCACATTACTTGTTACACACCTCTTTCCCTCCTCTCTTCTTTTCTGTTTAAAGAAGTTCACTTCTAGAGTGAAGAAAGTCACAGAGGTTGTTGATTACATGGAGCATCTGCATGCCAGCAGCAAACTAATGTGTGACACTGCTTTAATGAGTGAAACACCAATCATCGGTCGGGTGCATGTGCGCTGCACTGCTTTATGTACATGCTTCATGTACATTGAAGGCCTCAGGACAGTGAGCGAGGGCCATCTGGTAAATATATGCTACGCTACATGTGTGCTTTGTGTAACTGGAGTGTTCAGTCACCTTTAAGTGTTTTAGGGAGATTCTCAGATCAGTGTTATGAGTGATTTTTTTTTTGTGGAACTAACAAGTTATTTAGCCATTTAAAGACAAAACGCAGTAACTACACCACAGGATTTTCCTTGAATCTGAGCATAGTTGAGTCAAACCCATCCAACACACAACAGATAATAGTCTTAGGAGAGCTGATTTTTCTCATTTTGTAAATATGCATTTACAGTGTTTTGTCTTTGCATGGCGGTGAGGCAAATTATATAATGTAGATTTTTAATTCCTTTAATAGGTGTATATTAAAAATGTATGTAACAAGGTACCTTGTAAAAGAAACAAATGCAAGTGTGCATTATTTATACACTTAAATTCAGACAAATGATGTGGTACATTTAGAGGGAGAGAAAGAGGAAGACTAAATTGCCGGTATGATTAAAGTCCAGCCAAAACACTGTTTTATTTCTCACCTTGTGTCTCCTCCATGTCCTCTTCCTCCTCTTCATCTCTCTTTTCATTTCCTTTCTGTGTTTTTTAATGCTCTTTATGAGGGTGTATAGTTCAGGTATTAATGATTTGTACAGTTTTGAAGGTTGACTTTGTAATTTCCACATGCATGGATTTCTTTTGCGAGCAATAAGGAAATTATAAGTCTATGTGTTTTGATAAGAAAATGTATTTTAACAGAGGTTTATGTACTTGTTTGTTGATATGAGTGTGTACATATGGATGTGTATATTCATATGCACATGCATATTAATGATTTGCATGAAACAAATGTACAAACTTTTTTTCTGTTGATGTTTTGTTACCAATCTGTCATTTTTGACTTGATTGCTGAGGGGGCGGAGCTTAGTTTTGCATGCTAAGATGCTATTGGGTGGCAGAGACCCTTAGAACTGTTGTATTGAATGTGGGGTTTTGAATGTGCTTTAACTATGTACCTGTTTCTTTTCTTTGTTAGACATCAAAAGCATTGCAGATTGTCATTTTATGATTTATTCTTTTTCATCTTTTCACAGAGAACTATTCTGAAAGCCCAGTGCTTATCAGATATATGCAAAAAGAAGCAGTAACTGTGAACTAAGACTAGAACAGAAAATCCACTTCTTCCTTCACAAATACATTCCCAAATGCACACCTGAGCCCCCGAACCAGTATCAGCTCCCGTACAAGTGCATTTTAGTTTGTATTCTCATCTCATGGCGTCATCAATCTTGTTTAATCATCTTAGTTTTGCATTATTAAAGAGCAGATTAGTTGTTTTTCTCCCCCTTGCTGTTGTGTTAACCTCAGCTCTAGCCCCCGGCCTCTGCTGGTTTTACGGGGATGACGTAGCATTCGCTGTTGTAGATCATTAGCACTCCTTTGTCACTTTAGAGGCTAAGAATACAGATTTTAGCCCTTAATGTTTACCTGTTATATTTAAGATTTAAAAAAAAGATTCTTTAGGCATTTATTTGAACAGACTCAGACCAGAAGGAGTGTTTTCCTGTTCACTAAACTGATCAGAGCAGAGAGAAAGAAGCTAATGCTAAGAAGTCTGCTCACTGCAGCAATGCATGTTTCCACACATTCAAGATAGCTAGCACTTAGCATCCCTAGTGCATTTTGTAGTTTTGCTGTGTGTAGTCTATCTGTTAAGGTGTAGTCAGGGTGAACAGAGTGGATGGGATGGCTCCACTTTTATCCCTTTATTTCAGTTCTGAGGTTACGATGTGGAAGAGACAGGCCTGCCACTAGTTAGCTTAGTTAGCGATTGCCTGGTAAAAGCAGAGGCTGCATGTGATCACGCAGGACAGTGTAAATAATTCTCTGCATGTGGAGTTAACAGCACAGAAACTGAAATCCGTTTGATTCAAATGGAGAGCAGGTCGAGTTCAAACGATTTAGCGACATTATCCAGAATTCTCTCTGTTTCTGACTTACACTGCCCTGTCACTACTCAGGTAAATCTCTTTTTGTTTGTCTATACCAGTGCTTCCAAAATGATGTCATTCGAAACAAAGAGAGATGCAGATGAGAACACCCCGTGTACGCATGCACTTGTGTAAATATGAAATAATCATGTTTGATCCCAACATTCATTCCAAGTCTTCCTTTTCCACAGTGTCCTTCTCGCCCTTCATTTCGTCATTTCATCCGTCACTTTCATTTATTCCCAACTCTTACTGCTTCCAGATAACAACCAAAAAAGCCCGGATGACATTATGAGAAACTGAGGAAAAATAATGAGTGATTTGTTTAAAAAAAAAGAGAACTTTTCAATGACGGTCTGCCATAAGTGGATTACAAAAAAAACCTGTATGTGGAATCAGGACGCAACCAAATTCAGGAAATGAAAGCATGAGGGTCAAATGGACAGATTGTGTGTTTGGGGAACAGAGTTTTGGGAGGATTGTCAACAAATGAAGAAAGGCATCGTGAAATGGAGGACAGTTTGAGGAAGAAAGAAAAAAAGCAAAGAGAGGAGGAAGGGAGCTGAACGCTTCTCAGTGTAAGAATGTGCGTATGGTGTTCACACTGCGTGTTTTCATGTGATGTTTCTGACTGTGTGCTTAGTGTTTTGATTTTCTTTGTGTGACACTTTGTATTCCCGCTCTTCCAATGTTTGGCGCTGTGCTGAAATGGTGCACTCGCTCTCTATTCCCTATGCCAGTTTCACTGTTTGGTAAAATATCAAAATAAGGGCACTTCATGGGGAATAGCGAGTCGTCTTGGGAAGCACCCTTTGTGTGAAGAGGATTAACTGATGTACAATGAGCTTTTGCTTTGTTCTGGTCCATCTTAGAGGGCTGACAAAATCAATCATTGTTAATTGATTCTGTTGATTTTATTGACGTAGGTTTAGAATAAGATTTTGTGGCCCTCAACCACTGGAACTTTTATTCAGCTTCGTGTGTGTTTGTTTTTTGTGTGTGTGATTCCTAGAGTCTTGCATTTGTGTGTTTTCTTTTTGAGCGCATGTTACGATGGGCTTTGCTACGAGTACACTTGGGTTTTTGGTTCGTTTCTTTTTTACATTGGTATTTAGGACTTATGTTCCATGGACATCATTCCAAAACAAACAAAAAGAAAAAATTTCAACTTCTTTAGCTTTGGCTTTCGCAGTTGCGCGGTCTGAAACGGCTGGCATCTGTGAAAGCCTCTAGCAGTGTGTAGCCTATAGCTTTTAATGCATCTGTATTAAGGTGACGCAACGTGTGGCGCGATACTGATTTTTCTGTCCTCCGTTTTCCTATTCCCCTCTCTTTCTGTCTTTCTCTTTTCTTCCCTACAGTGCTGAGCTTCTGAACTGCCCCTTTTCTAAAGCTCCCCAACCGCAAAACCTGTCCAGAGGCAACCCCCAGGGTCACCGCAGGATTAGAGATGGCGAAAGAGAGAAAACGAGAGATGAAAGGAGTGCTTCACTAAACCAACTTGAAGAAAACATTGTAACGCTCATCTCTCCATTACTAATTTTAACCCCCAACGTAGGTGCAATAAACTGACAATATCACGTCCTGGGAGGATGTGGAACACAGGGATCGCTGGCCTTGGAATACGGGTGGAATTCAGCATACAAACTGTAGTATGTCCTGGCTCGACCTGATGGAAATGGATGCAATTTTAAAGTGATGTGAACTATTTTTGTGGGGTGCTCCACCATGATAATTGCACCTGAAAGTGGACAAAAAACCCTCGATCCAGTCTCAGATACACATAATGTGTGGAAAAACACCCATCATGCCCTTCAACGCTATGCAATTCAAACGCTTCAATCGAACAGTTTATCAGCCAAACCTTTTCCGCTCCTTTACCTTTTGGAAATCTTGCACGTGCTTTAAATGAAAATAGACAGCGGCGCCATCGGCCTGCCATTTTCCTATATCATACTGTTTCCCCATTCATCCAATTGGAAATCTCTGTTCAGAGTGTCCTTCTCAGGGCTCACAGAAAGGTGACTTTGTCCACTATGAAGAAAAGAGCGTTAGCCTCTCTCTTTTCTCTCTCTCTTAGTTCAGCTCTCTGCATCTCAGCGTTTCTGTTCCCCTGTAGATGAACTGATAACAACCAAAAAAGCCCGGATGACATTATGAGAAACTGAGGAAAAATAATGAGTGATTTGTTTAAAAAAAAAGAGAACTTTTCAATGACGGTCTGCCATAAGTGGATTACAAAAAAAACCTGTATGTGGAATCAGGACGCAACCAAATTCAGGAAATGAAAGCATGAGGGTCAAATGGACAGATTGTGTGTTTGGGGAACAGAGTTTTGGGAGGATTGTCAACAAATGAAGAAAGGCATCGTGAAATGGAGGACAGTTTGAGGAAGAAAGAAAAAAAGCAAAGAGAGGAGGAAGGGAGCTGAACGCTTCTCAGTGTAAGAATGTGCGTATGGTGTTCACACTGCGTGTTTTCATGTGATGTTTCTGACTGTGTGCTTAGTGTTTTGATTTTCTTTGTGTGACACTTTGTATTCCCGCTCTTCCAATGTTTGGCGCTGTGCTGAAATGGTGCACTCGCTCTCTATTCCCTATGCCAGTTTCACTGTTTGGTAAAATATCAAAATAAGGGCACTTCATGGGGAATAGCGAGTCGTCTTGGGAAGCACCCTTTGTGTGAAGAGGATTAACTGATGTACAATGAGCTTTTGCTTTGTTCTGGTCCATCTTAGAGGGCTGACAAAATCAATCATTGTTAATTGATTCTGTTGATTTTATTGACGTAGGTTTAGAATAAGATTTTGTGGCCCTCAACGACTGGAACTTTTATTCAGCTTCGTGTGTGTTTGTTTTTTGTGTGTGTGATTCCTAGAGTCTTGCATTTGTGTGTTTTCTTTTTGAGCGCATGTTACGATGGGCTTTGCTACGAGTACACTTGGGTTTTTGGTTCGTTTCTTTTTTACATTGGTATTTAGGACTTATGTTCCATGGACATCATTCCAAAACAAACAAAAAGAAAAAATTTCAACTTCTTTAGCTTTGGCTTTCGCAGTTGCGCGGTCTGAAACGGCTGGCATCTGTGAAAGCCTCTAGCAGTGTGTAGCCTATAGCTTTTAATGCATCTGTATTAAGGTGACGCAACGTGTGGCGCGATACTGATTTTTCTGTCCTCCGTTTTCCTATTCCCCTCTCTTTCTGTCTTTCTCTTTTCTTCCCTACAGTGCTGAGCTTCTGAACTGCCCCTTTTCTAAAGCTCCCCAACCGCAAAACCTGTCCAGAGGCAACCCCCAGGGTCACCGCAGGATTAGAGATGGCGAAAGAGAGAAAACGAGAGATGAAAGGAGTGCTTCACTAAACCAACTTGAAGAAAACATTGTAACGCTCATCTCTCCATTACTAATTTTAACCCCCAACGTAGGTGCAATAAACTGACAATATCACGTCCTGGGAGGATGTGGAACACAGGGATCGCTGGCCTTGGAATACGGGTGGAATTCAGCATACAAACTGTAGTATGTCCTGGCTCGACCTGATGGAAATGGATGCAATTTTAAAGTGATGTGAACTATTTTTGTGGGGTGCTCCACCATGATAATTGCACCTGAAAGTGGACAAAAAACCCTCGATCCAGTCTCAGATACACATAATGTGTGGAAAAACACCCATCATGCCCTTCAACGCTATGCAATTCAAACGCTTCAATCGAACAGTTTATCAGCCAAACCTTTTCCGCTCCTTTACCTTTTGGAAATCTTGCACGTGCTTTAAATGAAAATAGACAGCGGCGCCATCGGCCTGCCATTTTCCTATATCATACTGTTTCCCCATTCATCCAATTGGAAATCTCTGTTCAGAGTGTCCTTCTCAGGGCTCACAGAAAGGTGACTTTGTCCACTATGAAGAAAAGAGCGTTAGCCTCTCTCTTTTCTCTCTCTCTTAGTTCAGCTCTCTGCATCTCAGCGTTTCTGTTCCCCTGTAGATGAACTGCATGGCATGAATGAAAAAAAAGAGAGAAAGATAGAGATCATGCTGAGAGGAACAAGAGGAAACCGTAGAAAGGACCGCTCTGTTTGCACAGTACAATATGGGTGACTCTGGATCAGTGGATGGAGTCACGTTCCTCACCTTCATGTGGGGAACAGAAAATACAACATAAGTGCATGATACCTGTTGAAGGACAGAGGGGTGTTTAAGTGGACTGGGTGAACTTTGAACAAAAGCTTAAAAAAAAGAAAATTAAAAAATGCATTTTTCTCACTTTGTTTACCAGCATGAATAAACTGCATGACTTCTGCAAGCCCTGAACCCCAAATTAGAGGGCTTGAAATCCCTAAACGCCGAAATCAAATGGAAACAATAAAAGTTTATGCTAAATGCTTCTAAATTTAGAAAAAAAAGATTATATTTAAAAAATAATAAAAAAAGAGAGGCTCTATATTTTGTTTTTGAATAATAAAAAAAAAGAATAATGTAAAAATATATAGGATTGCAAGATTCACACAGTTTTGTTGGGTAAAAGATTAACAAACCCTGTAACTGAGTGATGAGACAAACTCCTTCAACTACTACTGCTCCCTCAATGGCTTCAAGTGACATTCCTTCCCTTCTCTTTGTCCACTGTTTCACCCTTTACTTGAACTTTCCTGGCTCTCTGCTCTGCCCTTCGCAGTCTCCCTCAGTCATGGCAGCCTCCAGTAGTGGCACGACAGCTCCTCTGGAGACCTCCGACACCTACAGGGCTCTTTTCTTTTGACGGTTATGGGTCTGAAGAGCAAGGTGGAAGGGGATTTTAAGGCTGTGGGTGAAGTTTTCTTTTTAAGTTGAATCCTGATGGAAAGTTTTGGCTTAATTTGCGATGCTTGTTCTATTTTATTTCATTCACATTCCATGGGTAAATCAAAGCTTTATCCATCGAAAGTGAGCCTGCATCCGCTTAATATCAGTCTAGAGAATATTAGCGTTGTGTGAACTGCTGAGTCACGAGACCCTGAGCACTTACAAAGCACTATTATTCAATCAGGAAGCCATAATGTAAGAGTAGCGCCACAATATGAGCTCAAAGGTGCTCAGGAGACCGTGCTGAGAACTTTTGTAGTTCTTAAGTTGTGTTGAGTTTGTTTAAAATGTTGACATTTTATTCTGTAGTTCATTTTCTGGTGGTACAGAGCATTGCAAGGTTTTGACAAGATTTTGTTACAATCATTTAATATTTGTTTTATTTTGAAAGTTTCGAGATTTGCATATGCTGAGCACCCACTAAAACCAGCCATGCCATACCAAAATGGACATCCTTATTAACTTAGCAGCAGATTTCTGATATTTGCATCAGTATTAGCATTATCCTGTGTGAGAGGAGGCCATGATTCCAGCAGTGTCACTTTTAAATCATAGATTACACGTGTGAGTAACTGTTTGACTGTTTGTTTAAAACTTTTAGTGTCTTCTTCAACAACATACCAAGCATTGGTTACTTTACAAAAGTCGGTTAGTCTGGTTAGGTGTTGTTTACGTTGATTTAAAGAGTCATTTGCTGTCTTGAAACACCAAGACTGTGTTCTGTCAGCGCTCTTCGTTCAGAATCAGATGTAAGCTTACTTTAGTAACTACCTATGCAACACCTAAGCAAGACCTTAGCAGCTCACACACACACATGCCATGTGCTCAGGCCAGCTGGCTGGTGTCTGTTTACCAGTGCTGTGTGTCCAGGGAGGGAAAATGACACAGATGCAGCTCCATCACCACAAGAGCCAGCATTGTCTGCTGACTGTGTAGTTTTACTTCATATGTTAGCAGCTGGTCCAAGTATCTTGAAGGTGTGACAGATGTGTGCAGCTGTAGTAGCCATGTCGCTTTCCTCAGTGGTGCACTGAATTCCCTCTCTCTTCTCGATTAATACATCAATACATTTTATGTTTTACTGCATGCTTCACGGTGCAGGAAGACACTCATGCACTTTAGAGTTAACATATATGTTTATATGTAAGCATATACTCATCTCAGAGGGTTTGTAGGACATTAAAATGTTTTATATGTGCTACTCAGTTCCAGATTGCATTTGCTGACTGGTTAAGATGATGTGTACCTCTCTGGTCGTTCATAAATCCGATTGGATGTTGTTTTGGAGCAATAATGATAGAGGGCCACCTTTTCCTCATTGTTGTTATTAGGAATTGGGGGACATGTTCATCTCATCCCTAATAAAAAATCCAGTGTGCCTGAAACTGTTCCCTGAATATGTACGCAAACCGGCCACATCAATTGAAAATGTTCTCTCTGTAAATGCTTCCCATGAGAGTTTGTCTTGGCGTGAATGAGACCGCAACCCCTCCAGATGGCTGACAGCTCAACATACCTTTACTTGAAACCCAAATACAAAACATATCAGAGAGGAGCAGAACAAAGCCAGAATCAGTCTTCACGCTTTCTCAACTTCCTGTTTGCATCCCCTCTCTCCTCTCATCTGTCCCCTCTCCTTCTCTATTTTTGAGGAAGAAGCTTTTTTGCATCCCTTGTTCTTGTATTTTTCTATCATATTGTTTGAAGTTGACTTATATTGCATGCATGGAATACAATGAGGACATAACTTGTGAATAATTTGTGAGTGGCCAGAATGAGGTAACCAACTCTTTCACCTGGGCTCTCTACTCTGCGACTTCTCTTTCTGAGACAATTAAGAGAGGAAGAAAGAGCATATATTGTTTCTGGTTTATCTCACATTCATTTTTCTTCAAAATGTGGCCATGCCAAATATAAGTTATGGCTATACACTAGCCATTCCGAAAGTGTTTCATTTACATATTTATATATTGTTTTTAAGATGATATTTATCTGTATATATCTGTAGTGAATATTCATCAGAGCTTCCACAGACTCAGAGCTGAACAGATGCAGCAGATGTCGACAAAACAGCCTGCAGGAACTCAGTTTTCACTGCATGTGTCTGTGCATTTATTCTACTATAGTTTGACCCAATATGCACTACCTGTCCTTTTCTACTTTAGTTACTTAATGTAGCTTGTTTAAAGGGGGAATTCATTGCACTATCACAGCTAATGGAGCTGCTGTGTCTACTGCTGAGCGCAAGCCTAACCATACACCCCCCTAAATTAAGAAACAGGGACAGAGAGAGTTAGAAAGAGAGGCCAGTGAGAAAGAGAAGGTTCCTAAAAGAAATGGATGAGTTCTATGCTACTAAGATTGATGCTGGATAAAATTTTATTGTCATACAAAAAAATGGAGAAAAAAAATATCAAGAACTGTATAAAATATATTTCAATGGAATGTTTATTATTTACCTTTTATATTTTTGAAATGTATAAAGAAAAAAATTAATAAACTGTAATAATTTAACTGAGTTTGTGAAATTGTGAAAAATGTTATATTACTAAAAGTATGGAAGTTTGAACGTGAATGCTAACCTACCTGATCAAATCTTCTTCATTACAGATAGGAAAAAAAATAAAAACAATTAGAAAAATGAAATCCAATTTAAAAAGAAAACGTTATCAAAAAGTCAATAAAAATGTTAAAAGCTCATGCCAAAATTTTCAATATGTGTCCTGTGTGATTCTTCAAATGTTTTTTGTGATTTCTCCATGTTACTCTGGGATCCAAGAGCGCATTTACAGTACAATTAGTGTGCTTGCCTTTTTTTAAACACTTCTGGTTTTACGTATTCAATTAATTTTTTCAATGCTAGCATTTTAGAATAAATGTAATTGCATGCTATTTAAAGGATTAGTTCACTTCCAGAACAGAAATTTCCTCACCCCCAATGTCATCCAAGATGTTCATGTCTTTCTTTCTTCAGTTGAAAAGAAATTCAGTTTTTTGAGGAAAACATTGGATTATTCTCCATATAGTGGACTTCAATGAGAGCCCTTCAAGGGTTGCCGTTTCAGTGCAGTTTCAAAGGGCTCTACACGATCCCAGCTGAGGAATAATGGTCTTATCTAGTGAAACGATTACAAATTAAAATGTATATACTTTTTAACCACAAATGCTCGTCTTGATTTTCCTGTACCTTCATGGGGGGAAGGACTTTATTTAATGCAGGCCCTTCCTATTGGGCTTTCTTAATCTACATTATTGAGAAAGTCAAGAATTTAATTGTAAATAAATATAACAATATCATTTTTGTATGTTATATTTCTAGTACATTTTTTGTCTAGTTAGAGGCTTGTTTATAAAGTATTGTGTTTATGCACTGACCCACAACAAATCCATTAAAAGAGTTTGTTTTATTAAAAGAGTCTGACAACAGAATGCATGGAGTTAAAACAATGGTACAAGTGAAAATGAGGTAGAGGGTAATAACAATGTCACTAAAATGACAGTGACCAGTCCTCCTGGCACAGATCTAGGATATTTCAAATCTTGCTGGTTATTGCTATACTGTACGTCCCATTCTGGATGTGATGAATTGTAAGTGCCCTCATTCTTCATCTTTGTCACATGGACTCAGAGGTGAAAGAAAAATCACAATATTTCACACCCTTTCTCACTTTGCATAATATTCCCAAGCAGCCTACTTTTCTCCTATATTTGGTCACCAAACTATCTTTGTTTTGGTCTGTAGCATGTGTAAATCCCAGCATTCCTCCTTTTCTCACTTTATCCGTCCTCCACTGACCCTCCTCAGGCACCTCTCTTTAGTCTCCAGACGATGAGACCACCCAGCAGTGCTCCACCGAGGAAGATGACTCCAGAAGAAAGGGAGATCGGGCTGGATGAGGAACTAAAATCTAGCTCAAAAGAGGAACGAGCCAAAGAATAGATACTGTTGACCTGCAAGTTTTTAAAAGGGTTAATCAATAAATATTTCTGATGTCTTTTCAATGCTATGATGTCTTAATACAAGTGCTGTCATGTTTATCATATCATACCCATCCTCCCCTATTGCAGATCCAGTTCTGTAGGTAATCCCTGAAGTAATCCAGTGTCCAAAACACAATGTCTGGGGCTGAATTTGCAAGAATCTATCCATGAACAACAAAAAACAAGCGTACATACATCAAAGTGCAACCTCAGATAATTAATTTTTGTTTGGGCACTGAAACACAAAAATGTTTTAATGTATCCAGTACTGTTATAATTTTATACTGTGTTTTTGACTCAAAGAAAGAAAACAAGCACTGCATACCTTTGCAGCTGTTTTCCCAATAACACAGATCAGAGTAATAATTTTCCCCCAGGTGATGCAATCAACAAACACTTTTTCTACAAGGCTCTGGAAACTCTGTGTATCCGCCACACGTGCAAACCCATCAACCATGCTGAAATTAAACAATAAAACAAAACATTATCCTGACACCCGCTTCCATATAAGTATTCCCTTACGAAAATTAGCCATGGTTTTACTACAAATCAAACCAAAAAAACATGGTTACTAGTTAAACCATGGTAACCACAAATTGACCATGGTTTGGCTACACTAACCATAGTTTAACCATGGTATTTGTAGTAAAACTGTGGCTATACAAATGGTAATCAATAAGCCAAAACCCATGGTTACTACACTTTTACTACAATAAAACCATGGTTAATTTTTGTAAGGGTTTTTAAAGGGGTCCTGTTATGCGTTTTCACGTTTTCAACTTTAGTTAGTCTGTAATGTTGCTGTTTGAGCATAAAAAAAGATCTGCAAAGTTACAAAGCTCAAAGTCCACTTCAAAAGGAGATATTTTATTTAACAGAAATCACTTTTCAAAAACTACAACGAACGACTCGTTTGGACTACAACGCATATTTTCCGGGATATCACAAATATCGACGAATGGGACGAGACCTGGTTGAGCTGCACTAGAGAAGGCAACGAGTGCAATAGTATGTTCCTTCACAACCGGAGGCTGCAGTTTCAGGACTGCAGTTCTAGGACCCTATGCTTTTGTAACAGCGCCACCTACCGAATTGGATCACTAAAGATGGATGACATGGAGAGCAATCAGAGTGAGTAACTTTTATTTTATAACCTTAAAACGATGCAAAGTTTACGTAACGTTAGCCAACGTGAGAACTACTAAGAAATAATAATCAATTCCCGATTGCTAGTTTTATTGATTATTACGATGTTCTTAATTCGTGGCCATGATTTAATTAACTAAGCTAAACCTTGTTGACATAATGACTACAATAAGTAAATCTAGCCAGCACATTAATTAAACTTAAAAAGATGATAAAAGCATGTTGATGTGTCAGATTTATCTGTAGCTTACTGTATTAGTGTGAAAACTTGTTTATTACTCATTGTTTTAGCATATTAGTTAAGGATAAATCATCTTTCTTAATTAAACTGGGCTCATTGATTGGTTGCACCACAATATGTGTTATTAGCCAGTCCTTTTGACAGTACTTTAGATTAATCTTGTTGATGTTTGAAAGGCATGGTCAGTGGTTTGCCTTCTGGACTGATGAGGCCAGAAACTTGCTCCAAGCAACTCTTCAGCCAGTGTACAGAGTGCTATCTCAGAGGAGATCCACATCCAGGCTGTCGATGAGCACACTGCAGAGCTAAAGAGACTGCTGGACCTCATTGGGAAGATACGGGGATCTGAGGAGCATTTAGTGGTACTTAAACAATGTTCACATTTAATCATCATTACAAACAAACTCATAGTAAGTGCCTTAATTAGGAATAACATTAACAATATCTTTTAACTATGCTGCAAATTATTGTATCTTTATCTTAAATGTATCAATTTCCTTAAAATAACAGTTTTTGCACCATGGTTTGCCCATAGGGTGTACTCAACGGGAAGCCCTCTAAGTGGTCTCATAAGCTAACCTCCGCCCGAGTGTCTGTCTACCTCGACGGTGAGGAACAACTGTCCTGTTTGCCTATCTGAGAGGAGTGCTGCATAGGACACCAACACAACTGAGCTTCACAGATGAAGTGCAGATGTATGCCGGACCATGTAATGTGTTTGTGAGTGTCCTGCTCCTGCACTTACAAAATCTACTGTATAAACTGCAAGCTGGTGCTACTCGTGTATGGACCAATGTATAATGGCTTGCTGTTCAGTAAAGCAAGCCATTATACATAATAGTGTATATATATATATATATATATATATATATAATAGTATACTACTATAATAGTATACTTAAATTAACTGTTTTTTCACAGGCCATCATATATGCCCTGGCTGTCCTACGGAATTTCTCATTGCAGGAGGCTGAGCAGGTCTTCCTTTCTGGTCCAGATTATCATTACAGGTCAGAGTAGAATATTAATTATTTGCACCTTTTGTTACTGATATTTATGTTAACCCAACAGTGATTGTTCTCTCATAACTGTTTCAGTGAAGTGGAAAATTTTAATAGAAGGATTGACAGTAACACTTTCTATGAAGTCTGTATTTATAATACATTATAAGGTTATTCTTAAAGCATTATAAGGAATGAATAATGCATTATAAGAAACCTTATAATATGTTGCATCATCTTATAAATAATCGTAAGAACAGTTTTAATGTATTATAATACTTATTTATGGTAAAGTGTATGATGATTTATAACACACAATGAACACATTGCATCCACTTAAGTTACAATGGATTATATTTCTCATAGTTATAATGGATTATAGGTCTCATATCTTGCCATTGTTTAAGATCTGCACAATAACTTGGTACATCTTATTTGTGTTTTTACTGTAAAATAACAAATACAAAGTCTTCATGAAAACATTCCAAAATGCTTTAATGTGGTCTTATTATTATTAAGTGCTCTTTGTCTGCTTTAAGTGAAGTAACGTCACTGTACTTAAAGTAGACAAAGACCACTTATAAATAATATTTTTTCTCAAACAGCCATAAGATCTGATATCAGATCAGATGAATGTGTACACATTTGCTTTGAACTATTTTTATTGTAATATCAATTTGATTATCTTGATGGTAGCCTTTAGACAACTGTTGATAAGTAACTGTATGCTAAATATCTGCTAACACTTTTTTTGATGGTTCCCCAACAGATATTCTACTCACTATAAGCAACTTTGCAAGTACACATTTTAAAGCAAATGTTTCTTATTTAATTCTCCCTCTCTCTCTTTTTTATCTCTCTCAGGAGTTGAAGCCTACAGCCTTTCTGTCCATGCAGCAACTGATGGAAAAGGGGGTCTTTTTTATGATGTTGTATTATGTGTTATTGCAAAAATGAGTATATACAGTATATAATAATATATATTCTTGAATCATTCTTGAGTCTTATGTCTTGCCTCTCTACAAACTTTTAAATATCTGGCTGTAATTTAGTGAGTGCAAATGCTGATTTAATTTGATTCCATCTTTATTATACCTGATAATGAGCTAGTTAAACTTAAGGGGGCTAATCAATATACAGTATATTTCAAGAAACTAAGACTTAAGGTACTCCACTTTTTCAGTTGTTTAAAGACTGAAATACATTTTTCATTTATATTTTAAGTGTAAATTCATTTAAATGTAAAATTGTTAACTCAAAGCAGGTATTACACACTTTGTAATTAACATCTGATGTATTTATAAATCAAAAATCACAATTGAAATAAAAATGTACAACATGTACAAACATTACTACAAACTAAACCACCAGGGTCCTAGAAATGCGATCCTGAAACTGCAGCCTCCGCTATATTATCCAATTCGGTAGATGGTGCTGTTACAAAAGCATAGGGTCCTAGAACTGCGGCCTCCGGTTGTGCAGGAACACCCTTCTCAACGAGTGTTATCACTATGTCAGAGACACGCTAGCTTTCCCAAGGCAGACGAACTTACAGTGTTTACAATCATCTGGGTTAAAAATCATGCTCAAACTGATTTGATTTTGACGCAATATTTACACTGAAGCTCGCAGGCGGCTATGGTAAGAGCCACGACATTTCCCGACCAGGTGGCGAGTGCTGCCAATCACAACACACACTGGCCCAGCTAACCAATCACAGCACACACTGGCCCAGCTAACCAATCACAGCACACACCGGCCCAGCTAACCAATCACAACATACACCGGCCCAGCTAACCAATCACAACACACACTGGCCCAGCTACCCAATCACAGCACATTTCGTATTTCAGAAGGCGGGCCTTCATTTGAAACAGGAACTATTTGAGTCGTTCATGCCAGACTGGGGAGAGAGGTGTTGTAATAATGTAAAATATGTGAAAAATAATGTTTTTCGAACAACCTAGTATGAGAGCCTGTTCTAGTATACCCCCAAAACAAAATCAAGACTTTGCAAAAGAGCATAATAGGACCCCTTTAAAAGTATTGCAACTTTGTCACATTTTCACTTTATCGTAATTGCGACGGTCAATTTTGACTTTATATGAAATTGCCACTTTAGTTTTCATAATTGTGATTTATGTCTCACAACTTAAACTACTTCACATCACATTCATAGGCCTATATTTGCTTCGGGGCGTAAAAAGGTATTTCCATAATTGTTACATACAGCAATACAATACACTCGCATACCAAAAAGACCTTTCGATACTAACTTATTGAACTTTATATCCCGATCTATAATGTCGCCGATGTCTCTAGTGAAGTTAGCCACCTGGTCCAGGAGCTGCTCCCGCTCAGCACTCATTAGCTGCGGTTCTGGAAGAGACGGTGCACATGTTCCCGCTCTCTGTATCTGGTCCTTCACTGATCTGAGAACATTATTAGGCTGCTATGAAACCATCCTTGATTTCAGTTCTAAAGAAACGAAACTAATGGCAACCTAAAAACTTCATTCAGCTATTTAATGCACATGAAATAGAACAACGAATAACACTGATATGACAATCCAGGTATCTGTTGGTTGTAAAGTGACATTACTGGTTATTTTTCTATGAAAAATTATGTTGTTCAACATTGTAAAACATTTTTAGGCCTATTTAACACGTTTTAAGTATGATGTTGACAAATATGTGAAACTTACCTAAGTACAAGATTCTTTGAAAACTCGTAATCTTAAAAAAATAAAAATAATAAAAAATTTACTATACTGAATTTTGTGATAGTTTACGTTAAGAAGTAATGGTAAAGGCTGGTTTCCTACTTAAAGTCTGATCGTCTGATGCCATGAGCGCTTCGCTTTTTTCTGTCTTCATCCTTGGTCCCACGACAGGTTTTGACTGCCACTTAAACCACAATGAAACTGTAGCCTATGTGTAGGCTTTTACATCAATGAGACGCCTGAACTTCTAGTTTATTAAGTCCTGCTTACTGTCTATACTGTTAAAAAAATTGTCAGTTCCGCATATTTACTGCCATCGTCACAGTAGCTTGAGTAAGATGAAAAGTGAAACAAGATCCCAGCAAACATGCCCGCACAGGCCCACTGCGGGTTTTCTGTGGGACAGTGTGGGCAGAGCAAACCCACACTAAACCCACGTGGGCCCCCTGTGGGTTAGCCCATGCGGGCCCACAGCGGTTTTGCCCTTTTGGGCCCCCATGATGTTTTTTTCCCACAGTGGGCTTGCCCACAAGAAACCCACTCGGGGTCCCCTGTGGGTTAGCCCATGTGGGCCCCATGGCAGTTTGGTCATTTAGGGCCCTATGAGGATTGACCAACTGTGGGCTTGCCCACAAAAAAAACACCCGGGGCCCCTTGTTTTTTTTTTGTTTTTTTTTATCTACATGAAAATAATAGATAATAAAATAGATTTCTGTGACAATGACAGTAAAATGAAAACAATAAATTGTCCATAACAAAAAATAATGTGTGTACTGTGTATATTTATTATGTATATAAAAATACACACGCATGTATATATTTAAGAAAAATGTTGTTTTTATATTAAATATATTTATACATAATATAAATAAATGTTTGTATTTATATATACATAATAAATATGCACAGTACACACATTATGTAAACAAAACTTTTATTTTGGATGCGATTAATGGCGATTAATAGTTTGACAGCACTAATATATATACTGTATATTGAACTGTTCTGGAACAGTGTTGTAAATACAACTTAACCACTGATTTCTAGTCGTGTCTTCTTTTGGAAGGCCAAACAAAGTAGTTTCGCTTTCACAACGAAACACAGTGTCTTCACAGCATGGCGGCAGCAACAATACTACAGCGAGAATAACAGTTACGCCTTCTTTCTTTGCGTGAACATTTAGGCGGTGTTACGCAAATCTTCCCACATCATGACGTAGACATGTGGGGGTGTGTTAGAACAAGCCGTTTTAGGAGGACGTGGTTGACTCTTAACTTTAATAAAGAATATCTCTTTGGGTTTGAGACTTTAATTTTTGTTAAAGTAAGAATCTTATCTATTCACAGCTTGTAACACTCCAAAGAGAAAGGAAAACTTGAAATCGCATCATATGACCCCTTTAACAATGTTTGTCTTCTCTCTTTTGAGTATTGATTGCCATCTAGTCCTGATTGCAGAGTTAAGCTCCAGCCCCAATCATGTACTGCTGAAGCAGCTGATCAAGGTCTTCAGGATTACCACAAACTTCCAGGCAGGTGTGTGGACAGGCTGGAGATAAACTCATGTTGGTCCTCCAGGACACCACTGTTGTAAGTGATCAACCTAGCAGTCATCCTGCATCTCTTCTCAAAGGTGTCTAAAATACATTTTAATTTGTATTGATATATGCAATATTTCACTGAAATTCATTGATTTTCCCTCTTTTTCTCCATTTGGTTTGTGTCAGATGCAGATAAAGAGCCACCAGGAACAGGTCACTGCATCTTTTGTCATGTAAGTACATTTAAATTTATTTAAAGCTGCATATTCATTCATCAAGTTAAAGTCATTAGTAATTCCTAAAAGGGCCCGTTTTTCCAAAAATGAAAGTTCTGTCATCATTTACTCACTCCTTGTTGTTTCAAACCTGTATTACTTACAATAATAAGCCATTTTCATCTGTGACGCAGCTGTCCTCTTGGGACACATAACGTAAGTTTATAAAGTTTATAAAAACGGTTATATTGCCTGAATATAACTTAACCTTGTGTTAAAACCATTTTTAATTATGTACTCAATGCCTTGTTGCTGAAAAGGAAAAAATGAACACAGCACACATATTGGATATGTTAGATTTGCCTACAACAGAGTCAACGTGTTTAGAACTGAAATTTGAAAATGTTGTATATGAATTATGTCTTTCATTCACTGTTTTCCCTTAATCTCACTCAACCACTGCTTTCTCATTGTCTCATTTAGTCATGCAGTTCATTCACACTCTTTGTCATTCTGTGTATCTCTGCCATCAATAAAGCAAACATTTATTTTTAACATTAAAAAAATTTCCACAAAAAATATTAGTGCCCTGGGAGACTTCCTGAGGTAGAAACTTGGGTTTTGTTTAGGTTTTTTATTTCATATTTACATTTTAATTGTTAATTGTTGTTCTAAAATGGAAACTTCTATTAAAGTGGCTCCGTAACGTAACGTAAGAGACTTGGGACGGTGGAAGGAGCAGAAGAACCAGAAGATCAGAGATCAGGCAGAGCTCTACTGGTGCCAGAGCATGTGAGCGGAGCGGAGCAGTAATATTTTCTTAAGAGCGCCTTTCTGAAGATTCCGCTCTGCTCCGCTCTGTAACAGAAAGTTAAGAATGAGCAGGGAGAAGAAACTGAGAGGGAGTGCGGGGAGACTGTTAAAGTTAGTAAAGATTCATATTGGAATCTGAAGCGGCACATTGCCAGAAAGCACGAGGATGTGCTACGCAAACATGGTGCAGCAAAAGGTGAGCTAGTTACATACCATAATAAATGAATAAACAGGTAGGCTAAGGTTATATTCGGTTGTACGGAGCCCCGATCATGACATGCAGACAAAATCATGGCCACGAATTTAGAATAGGCTAGTTCTCTTTTATGCTAGGACTACATTATGACCACGAATTAAGAATTATTTTTTTCATTTAGTCTAAATGATGGCCACGAATTAAGTATTCGTTTTCTTGTTTAGGCTTAGCTGCCACGAATTCATTCGTTCGTTCCCTAGTTTTAGTAGGCCTAAATCGTGGAACGAATTATGATATTTCGTAATTACTTATTAAAATCATTATTGCTTAAAATTAATAAATAATAAAATTAATTTTAAAAAAATAAAACCTGCTGACGTTGTAGAAACGAATTGTAAATTCGAATTATATTCGGAGCTCCGTTAAATAATCTCAGTTAAACTGTAGACTTAAGCTAACACACAGCTGTATATAGACCTAAATACAGAACTACAGAGTACAGAAGATATTAAGCCTACACCACTTAGGCCTATTAAAAAAAAACTGACCCGAACCAATATGATTGTTCAGTGCCTGTCTAGCGATGTATGTTTATGCTTAAATATAATTAAATAAAGGATTATTAATTCCAAAACATCTCTCGCATGTTATTATGTGTGGTGAGTTTGTTCACGTGATTCATATTTCACACTTCAGAACTTCCGTTAAGGGAACATAGTGAGCAACGATGCTCCCTGGATTTTACGGTGCATTGTGGGACTTTTCAGGGAGCGAACATTTCAGTGCACTGATAGAATTTTGTGATTGAGACAGCCCTTAAAATGGTCGACTCCCTGATCAGTTTCCTGACTACTTAACTAGGGAGCTGATTGAGACGCACTGAGAATGTGTCTGACGGTTAAAAACATCTTAAATGCCAATGATCTGTTTGCAGACAAGCAAAGGGGGAAAATATTACATAGATCTAAATAGTAACAATTATTATTTACTAACCAACATTACAAACATGTTACCAATATAAAATTGTGGTAAAGGATCATAAATTTAATGTCTTAAGACAGTGAAGACTGGCTGCTGCATGATGCACTTTAATTGATCTAAACCCAAATAATCTGAAGGTGTAGGTCAGTTTGTCACAAAATATACTTACAAAGTATAATATACAAAAAAAATATACTAAAAAGAGCCTTTGGGGTGGTGTTCAGCGGCTGTTGAGACAAGCATAGGGGAGAAAAAGAGAAGAATAAAAAACATGGCAGAACGTGAGAGATTGCAGAAATAAAAATGTATTCCGTTTTTTTTAATTGCTCATTATTGACTAACTTAAACATGGCAAATCAGAGATGCAGGATGCTAGACTGTGTTGTGAAGTAGCTATTCCCTTAATGTTTTTCTTAAGACAGTGAAGACTGGATGCTGCACAATGTTGCTGCAACTGATCTAAACTCAAATAATGTGAAGGTGTCGGTCAGTTAGTGACAAAATATACTTACAAAGCCAAAGACGATGTGAAAAATGGCTCTGAAAAGAGCCTTTGGGGGTGGTGTTCAGCAGCTGTTGAGACACAAGCAGAAGGGAGAAAAATAAAAATCCATGGCAGAACATGTGAGAGATTGCACAAATAAAAACTGTATTCAGATTTTTCTTTAATTGATCATTATTGACTAACTTAAACATGGCAAATCAGAGATGCAGGATGCTGTGTTGTGAAGTAGCTATTCCCGTAATGTTTTTCTTAAGACAGTGAACGTTAACATAACATGGGGGATGCTTTTACCCAATACTTTTTTGTTTTATTTTTTAAACATTACTGTGTGTAAAGCCCAAAGTATATTTCGTTATTACGCATACGCTTAGTCGAATGCACAGCCTTGCAAAGCAGTGTTTCCCCTGCCATTATATTAGGGGGGTGGCCCGTCCCCCTTGAAGGTCAAGTTAATTTTATTTTCTATAGTGCCAGATCACAACAGAAGTCATTTAAGGTTTCCTTTCCTATAGAACAGGTCTATACCTCGTTCTTTTATTTAAAAAACTAAATAGCCCTATGTTATTTATCTTATTTACACGACGGCATATCATTTCTGTCTCTACATGGTCGTGCGTTTACAATTCTCCTCTGCTCTCTCTATCGCGCACTATCCCGATGTGCGCGCATAGAGACACACACACATAGTACGGCAGTTCGACACGACAGTTCTCCACACTCGGTTCAGCATGCACTTGCACCGCAGTTCATCTAATATCTGACGAAGCTTATGCATATAATATGGTTTGTTGAAAATAAATAAAACAGACAGACAGACAGAGGCTAATGTATGTTTCTGTGAATACATGGATACGCATTCTGGCTTCCCCTAAACTTTGTTCACTTCGAGTGCCGTATGCTCTATATGACCAGTCATTTACACCATCATCAACCGGGTGCTGATAGTGCGCGATTGCAGATAAGACAGATGAGAGCACATATTGCTATCTGTGTTTTAACTAAACTCATTTAAGCCTTGCCAATTTTAATATTCCAGTGAAAGAGAACTTGCATGC